AATCCAGTTGACATTTCTTTGTGTGCTGACCACTTCCACCTTCCAGAATCATTCTCTCTGCAGGTTTCTAGGATACCACATTTTTCCTTTGTAGGCATTTTCCTTACTATCTTTCTGGCTGCTGCTCATTCCCCAGTCTTTTTTATTCTTTTCAGTCTTATTCTTTGGCCCAATCTTTACATGTTGGTGTTCTTCAGGTTCTATTCTAGGCCTTGTTGTCTTGCTATATACCTCTCCCAAGGGAATCTCATTCCCAAGGCTCAATCATCAGCTATGTAGACCTCTGATCCAGCTCCTTCTCCTGAGCTTCAGACTTGACCTTATTGTTAGGCATTGTTTCTAATTGCAGCTTCAGATTTGACCTTATCATTAGGCATTTCTCCATGTCACACAAGTGCTTTAAACTCAGCTTGTCCTAACTGGACTGATTATCTCCTTCCCCAAAATAACATCCCCCCTCCCGTGTTCTCTCTCTCAGGGACTGGACCCTCAATTTGCATAATACTTGAGAATCATCCTAGCACCCGATTTCTGCCTTTCTCTCACCTCTTCATACTCAATTAAACTCTACCTCTGTTAAATTTACTTCCAAAATACCTCTGGAACCAGACATCTTTTCTCTCTCCTTTGTTTCTTGTGTTCTGGTTCTTGCCACCATCATCTTTCTAGTGATTGACTGCTATAGCCTCTTAATTGGCCTCCTAGCCTTCATTCTTTTTCTTTTTTTTCATCTTATAACCGAAATTTTGTAGCCTTTGACCAACATCTACCCACTTCCCTGTCTCCCCAGCCCCTGGGAAACCACCATTCTACTCTCTGTTTTGACAAGTTCAACTTTTTTGGATACTTTCAACCACACGTCAAGCACTGATTTGTATACTCAGAATCTCTCAGTGGAAACCAAAAACCTTGATAACATCCATCTTCTAAGGTGCCATCTAATGTGACATATGTCCCAGTAAGGAGTGGTGAGAAGTATTGTGTAAATTCCCTGTTACTTCTATTTAAAAAAAAAAAAAAATCAACATTATAGTTTCTGATTGTCAGTGCTGATGAAACTGGCTGTAACGTTCATTCATTCTCATTGTTCTATTTCGTACCACGGTATTCATATTACATAGTTTGTCTATGCTATTATTAGCGGACATTTGTAAAGTTTTCTGACATTATAAACAATACTGTGAGAACCTTCTGGTAGAAAAAGAGGTGTGCCTGCTTGGCCATAAGGTATGCGCATCTTTAACGTTGCTAGCTGTGTGAGGTAGAGCTAATTTACAGGTGGATTGGAAATGCTCCGTCCTTAGCTCTGAGCTGCCTGGATGTCCATGTTCGGCACAAAGGTTCAGACTCCCCTGTGGACCCGAAGGTTCGGTTTGTTTGCTGATGGTTTTCACCCAGCCTTCATTCTTGACTCAACCAAATTATTCTCCACCAAGCTGACAGAAATATATTTTGTAAAGGGAAAACTAACTCAGACGTTTTCCCGCTTAAAGTGCTTCACTGATTTCCAATAGTTTCAAGAATAATGTTGAACTATGGCAACTTTCAAGGCCCTATACTATCAGTTCCCTGTTTACAATTCTGACTTTATTTTTGCCGCCCCTAATACCCTGGCATCCCCACATGCCATTTCTACTGATATTTCATTTCTCAGACTGTGCCCCAGGTCCTGGTCTGGAAAGCCCTTCTCAAATAACTACAGTTCATTCTTCAGGTCTCAGGTAGAGGTTGCTTCTTCAGAAAGTTTTTCCTTATACCCAGGCCTGGGCTAGACCCTCTCCCTGGTGGGGCCCTGGGTGGCTCCTCTCATAGCTCTGTCCCCTTCATTGTGACTTATTTCGAGCTTGGGCTTTGGAGTCTGAGTTCCAGCTCCGCCACCTACTAGCCGTTGTTTAATTGCAATGAGCCTCCGTTTCCTTATTTTAAAAATGGGCCTGATAACAGAATCTATCTCACTGATTTGCATGTTTCTTTATTGAAATAGGGATTAAATGGCATGTAATCATTATTTGTATAATTAATTGTTTAAAATCTGTATTTCTTCTTTGAATTTAAGCTGCAGAAAGGCAGGGACGATGTCCACCACTGAATGCCCAGTATTTGCTATAGTCCAGGCAACAGCTCAATTAAATGACACTGAATAAATACCAAAAGTCATTTGATATTTTGATTATTTCAAAAAATTTTAACATTATCTAGTGAGTATTTCTCATGCCATTAAGTATTTCTCTATTAATTGTTTTTTATTGGTTGCTTTATAGTCTGTTGCCTGAGTGTCCCAGAAATGATTTAACTATTCATTTATTGTTGAATGTTTAGGGTATTTCAATTCTTCATTATTTTAAATGATATTGTGACAAAAATTCTTGTGGATAATTTTATGTCTATATCTTAGATTATTTCCTTAAGGTCCTTTTCTAGAAGAGGAATCTTTTGTTACTTCTTCTTTTGAAGAACTCTCTATTCTATTTCCTTTGCATTGCCTGCAAAACGTTCACACTTACTGTTTTGTGACTTTTTCTTTCTCTCTGATGACACTGAGATAAATAACACCCAAAGCCCAGGGCTCAGCCTTACACAGTCCTCCTGCTCTCCACGCTGGGAACAGATGTTCTTGCTCCTACACTGGGAGTTACTCACATTTAAACCTCTTTCTTATTCAGTGCATCAGGCTACAGAGGGGAAAGAAAAGCAGATTATTGTTTTGTATTCTCCTTTCTCTTCTTCCCCTGATCGTCCTCCTTCTCCTCCTTCTTCTTCTGTCCTCCTCTTCTTCTTTTTCTTCTCACACTCACCTTTTTAAGGAAGGCAAGATAAAACTCTTTGAAAAAAATAATAAAAATATATTTGTTATATATTGTGGATAATTAAGTGAGAAGATTAATGAAAAGCAGGGAAGGCAAGAAAGAGGAGAGAGTGAGAGAAAGAAGAAAAGCTAGAAAAAGAAAGAGAAAAAGAGAAGAAACCAGAACAACATTGTAGGATAGAAAGAACAATTAGAGAAGAAAACAGAAAAAAAATAATTCTAGTGTAGCAAAATACACATTTGGGGCCATTCTTATACTGCCCTTTGCTTTAACTTTTGTCTGACAAGCTTTCAGAGGTTTGAAGAAGCTATTCTGATTCCATAAGATTAGTTTTCGTGTTTATTTTTGCTTTTCTCCAGGGTAAATTTACCCAGTTATTGCCACTGGTCTTTGGGGGACATGGTGTGGTGGTCAGAGTTAGACAGGATGCTCCAGAGTGTTCCTGGTGTGGACTGATGGGCAGAGAGCAACAGGATATCACTTCCTATGCTCGGCATATGGACCTTCTCTTTACTCTCTGCCCGCCTCTCTCAAACATTGATATAGCAGTGATTCTAAAACTCCTTGATCTTAGATCTCTTTACTCTCTTAAAAAAAAAAATGACTGAGGACTACAAATAATTTTGTTTATATAGAGTATATCTATAAATATTTACCATATAAGAAATTAAAACACGTTTTTAAAATATTGATTTATTAATTTACTTAAAAGTAACAAAAGTAAATCCATTACATGTTAACATAATTAACATATCTTTATGAAATTTTTTTTGTTTTGGTGAGGAAGATTGGTCCTGACCTAACATCTGTTGCCAATCTTCCTCTTTTTGCTTGAGGAAGATTGTCCCTCAGCTAACATCTGTGCCAGTCTTCCTCTATTTCGTATGTGGGACACCACCACAGCATGGCTTGATGAGCAGTGTGTAGGTCACTGCCTGGGATCTGAACCTGCAAATCCCAGACTGTCGAAACGGAGCATCTAAACTCAACCACTACGTTGCCGGGCAGGTCTCTCTTTATGAAAAATTTTTAAAAACAAAACATAATATTGAGAAAGATGGCATTGTTTTATATCTTTGCATATCTTTTTAACATCTGACTTAGAAGACAACTTGATCCTCATATCCGATTTTGGATTTAATCACAATGTTGCAATGTGCAGTTTTGTTGAAGTGTATAAACAAAGCTTGGTCTTGCTGAGAAGCATAGTTGGAAAATGGAGGAATATTTTAATGGTCTTTTCAGACATTGTGGGTATTCTTCTTTGATACTACTTTAAACTTGACAAGTGGTAGTTGCAATGTGGACTCTGGGACCATAACAATGAACTTTTCATATTTTATTACATACACTCCATTGGTCTAACTTTATTTATTTATTTTTTTTTAAAGATTTTATTTTTTCCTTTTTCTCCCCAAAGCCCCCCAGTACATAGTTGTATATTTCTCGTTGTGGGTTCTTCCAGTTGTGGTATGCGGGATGCTGCCTCAGCGTGGTCTGACGAGCAGTGCCATGTCCGCGCCCAGGATTCGAACCAACGAAACACTGGGCCGCCTGCATCAGAGCGCGCGAACTTAACCACTCGGCCACGGGGCCAGCCCCCCATTGGTCTAACTTTAAATGGCTCTTTTACCCAGGCATGATTTTGTAATGTCATGCATTGGACATTAGTTCACTGAGTTATGCTGATCTTCTAAATGTGGACACATTTCATCCCATAATATCAAAAAAATCACATTCGCTAATATTACCATCAATTTCATTAGAAAAACCTTTAAGTTTTGGGAAGCTGACAAGCTCATGGTAGCAGATATAAATTTTCCAAAATTCACTTGAAAGCTTGAATTTTATTATTGGCAACAAACGTGGGTAGTGATTTTCCTTGAAGTGACAGGCTCACCTCATTCATTTTGTTTGTTTGTTTGTTTGTTCGTTTGTTTTTTGTGAGGGAGATTGGCCCTGAGCTAACAGCTGTGCCAATCTTCCTTTACTTTGTATGTGGGATGCCTCCACAGGACGGCTGGTGAGTGGAGTAGGTCTGCACCCTGGATCCGAACCCACGAACCTTGGGCCACCAAAGCAGAGCACACAGAATGTTAACCACTTGGCCACAGGGCCAGCCCTTGTCCAGCAGTTCTTTAAGCCTGTCTTGATTTGGTCACACAGAATATTAACAAGAAGTATACTCAAGGGTCAAGATTTAATAAAATTAGCAGTATTTATTGCTTAATAAAACACGGTATTAAGTGAAGCACACTCTTTTTCTTTCTTTCTGGCAGTGTCTAGTGGTAAAGAATGCAGTGATGAATTGTACAGATGGGTGCCACTACCTTGATTCATGCAAAGACACCAACAGTTTCACCTGCTATGGCTTTTACACCATCAGTGTAAATGTCAACACAGTGAAAAGGGCAAAGGAGTATTATCTAGGAAATAGTTTTGGTTTTGTGGGTCCCTTGAACAGATCTCTAGGACTCCCAAAGGTCTGGGGACCCCACCTTGAGAACTGACTGTTTTCAGGATACCTATTAGTTTCCTTAGTTATGTTCAGTTTTACACTGATCCTGTCAGTGATGGCTGTGCTGTCACCAACAGGTTGGGGGTCTTCAAAGAGATAACGCTAATTACAACAGGAACTAACATATCTTAGGTGCTGCCTCAGATGTTTTTCGTATGTTATCTCACAGCAATCCTTGATGTAAGTTCTGTTTTATCCCCACCTTCAGATGAGGAAACAGGATCAGAGAGGTGAGTTAATTTGCCGAAGACCACACAGTTGGTAAATAGGAGAGCCAGCATGAAACTCCCGGCGGTCTGACTCCAGAGCCGGTGCTCTGAACTGCTTTGTTATTGCTGGAGAGGCAAACAGGATGGGCAAAGTGAAGAAAGCACGTTAGACAGGGCAGGAGGTCAGAGCTGAGAGTCTCAGACCCAAGGGTCTAAGTAGCAATTCTAAGGTTTCCTCCAAATCTATCTTCCCATCTGATTCTTACAAAAGCCCTGAGTTGGCTGGTGAGAGTTCTTATTTCCATTTCATCGGTAAGGAAGTCAATGCTGCTTAGCAGAGATGGATCCCCTGGGAGGCCCAGAGTCATATACTGGGAGAGCTCCACCTTCTCACCCAACGCCAAGGACTCAGGGCCCTTGTTGGCAGCTTTTCCTCCATGGGGTGTCCTACTGTCACATGTCGTGGAGGGGAGTTGGCAAAACAGGCAGTGTTACCATTACTTCTGGAGAGAGAGAGACGAGAAGTGCAGGCCCATTAGCCCTGGTGCCGTAGAGGAAGTAACCCGAGGTCCAGACGCTGGTCTGGCCAGTGATGAGAGCCTCCCCACCCTGCTGTCTGCGACTGAGACTTCCCCATTCTGGGGGTGCAATTCCACATGAAGGCGGAAACAGTTTATTTACCAACAGAAAAGGAGGCGCGGAGGGGTGGGAGGAAAGGAAGACTGTGTGCTGAAGCCTTTGAGGCCGCTGACAAGGAGGTTTGAAGGAACAGAGAAAAAGGTGCCCAGCTGAAGCCCAGATCTCTCTCTCAGCGGAAGGAGAAACTGAGTCCTGCAGAGAGGAAGGAATTTGCCAAAAGTCATACATACAGCCCGTAAAGTAAAACTGCCACCCTGAACCCTAGACCCGCCCCTTCCATGAAAATCTTGCGAACGGGGACCGAGAACCAGGATGGAATTTCTTTGGTTTCTAGGACCCCTCCCTGGGGTTTGTGACCGTGTTCCTTCTGCACACCACTCTGGGTGTTTAAATTCCAAGCAGGTTTTATGTTCAGTTCGCTTCAAGATTCCTTCCCTTCCAGTGAGTCGATTTTGCCTTTGTTCTTTTGTTTATAAGCCCTGGACAATCAACAGTTCCTGAAAGTGACAGACCTCCTGGACCTGGAAGAGGGGAAATTTCAAGACAGTTCCTGAACGCCCAGGCCTTCAAAGCCCCATGCAAGGCAGCAAACAGCTCCAGAATAATGGGGGAGATCCCTCCCGAGGCAGGGTCTGTCCGGATGGAACGCCTGTTTGGAACTCAGCATCCTCGCCTGGTCTCTCTGCCCCAGGGCGGGGCCCCATGGCCCTCCACCTGGGGCTCCACATAGGGAAACCTTCCTTTTCAGAAATAAAAGGAAGATCGCCTGTTCCCCCAGCGCCTTTTCCCATCAGTAGGCTGAGTTCTGAATTTTAACAATTAAAAATTAATTTTTTACCTTCGGGTTTTGTTCACCAGGACCAAAGACAGCATTATGTCGTAGGACGTCTTCCTCCTCCTTCTTTTTTTTTCTGGCCACAAATATTTATGGACAATCTGCTACGTTCGAGGCCCTGTTTCAAGAGGGCCTGGAGGAGCTGACCATCGTCTGGGGGAGTCAGTCTATAATGTGATGTCAGGCTGTGTGTGAAGGCCATGGAGAGGGGCGGAAATGACAGTTCAGACCAGGTCACTAGAGACAGGCTTAGGGTCAGGACAGGGTTAGGAAGACAGACCTGAGGTGGTGATATCTGAGTAGAGACCTGAACGAAGTGAGAGAATGTGCCCTGAAGCCATCTGAGGGAAGACACCTCCGCTTGTCAGAATGGTCACCTCTAAAATGTCTTCTGCCCACAGATTGCACAGGACCAGCTTAATCCTGTTTCCAGGAGATGTCCTCCACATTCTGGAAGACTTAGGTCTCAATTAGGTCTTAGGTCTCAATTAACTTCTTAGGTCTCAATGAAACCTTCTTATCCCAGCAAATCTGGTGTTATTTTAGCCTCACATTACCTTTTGGGGTACATTTCCCTTTAAACACTGCCTCCCCTCATGGCCATCCTAGAGTTTGGGGTTAGTGGACTAAGTCTTCGTTTCTTCTGCTGCTGCGATTCTTGATTGTCGGAAGATTCCGGAGCTTTAGTCGGGAAGTGCCCTCTGAGGTCAGATGGCCCAACCCCCTCATTTTAGAAATGGAGACGTTAAGGCCCAGGCGCAGGAAGGGCCTTGCTGATGGCTGGTCACAGGGTTAGTTACAAAAATGGCTGAGTGGGGACCCACACCCAGATGTCCTATTGACACAGCACTCTTTCTCCCTCCACCCCCACCACACCACGCACCACCTCTAATCCACATCTATTTTCTGTACTTGGAGAATCGCAATAATAGCTCACGTTTCTCCAGAACTTGAGTTTCCTCTTGCAATGCTGTTCTGTTCTTCTCTGACGACGTTTTCTGAGGCGTGAAACTCTCTGTAGGTTTCTTTTCTTTTAAATTAAATATTATCTTTTGCTCTGTGACAGGCTCTGCGATAAGGCTTTCCACCCAGGATTTCATTTAACCCTCACAACCCCTTTGCGAGGCATTATTATAATCATGCTTATTGAAAGACTGGGAAGCTCAAGTTCAGAGAGGTTGAATAACTTGCCCAAGGTCAGACAGCCAGAGAATGGTGGAGCTGGAGTAAGAACCCAAGCAGTGTGACTCCAGAGCATGACTCCGTGGTTGAAAACAATGGCCATGGAGAGCTGCATTTGGGTCAGAGCCTCATTCATCCCGGGTCCTGCCAAATGTGGTGAGCATGCATTCTATGGAGAGTGAGGAACACATGTTTTGTTGGGGAGATGGAGGCGGGCAGCATGGGGACACAGCAGCCAACACCTGCTATGTTTTAGGAACTGATTACACCTGAAATTGCAAAATGCCATCCATGATCTGAATCTTCAGATTGTAGAAGTATTGTTTTTTAAAGATTTTGAACTATGTACCAATCTTCATGATCAGAAGATTTCACATACATACAAAATTTGATTTGTAACTTTTCTTGAAAATCTGGAAGATGTAGTACATGGAGCCTTCATTCTGTTTGGCAACAATCGACTGTTGCTGAATAGTGGACGCCGCCTTTAGCTGGGGCTGGAGCGCCCCCGTTTACCTCAGGGCCTAACTCGCCCTCTAGTCGCTCCAAATTTGAGGCTGCGGCAGTCGTTCAAGAAAAGTGGGGGCGAGCACATTTCTTGCTGGGTATGAAGCATATTCTTTCCTGTTTAATAGGTCAACTTTGTGACAGTCTTAAAAACAACACAATCAAGATGGTTCCCTTTACTCATGCCTGATGTGCACCTGACCCCGAAGGTGTTTGAGATGGAACCCTGGACACTGACTCCCAGATCCCTCTGTGGGGCTGTAACTGGAAACTGAGGGTTCACCATAAAACAGAGAATATTCGAATCTGATTGTGGAGTGCGACATCCTCCCTGGACAGCTGGAGAGACGGTAGCCCAGAAAGAGGAAGAACCTTCTGGAGGTCAACTGGGAAGTGGGGCTTGGCCAGGGTGCCAGCTCAGTCCCTATTGCAATGTGCTATCCATTCTTCCCCATTCTTTCATCTAGCTGGCACTGTGTCCTCCAAGTTTTCCTCGTACTTGGTCATACCATTTTTTTCCTCGGGTGTTTACTATATTTCAAGTACAGTGCTAACCAAAGTGTTTTACAAGTTTTCTGATTTAATTGTCATCCTTGTTTGACAAGTGCGGAAACTAAGGGTTACAGAGTCACTTTGCTTATTAGTGGAAGAGAAGGATCTGAATCCAGGTCTGGGTGCAGTCAGAGCCTTCCTTGCTGTGCCTTCTCAGACTGACTAACCCAGCTACCCTGCCAAGGAGGGACCATGCCATTCCATTTTGTAGATGGAGAAAGCAAGAGGCTAAGTGGCTTGTCTAGGATCACACAGCTGGTATTGATACAGCCAGGACTGACATCTGGGTCTGGCTCCAGGGCTGGGCTTACAAACAGTGACCTCATTTGCTGCTCTTCTGCACCTCGTGGGACCACCTGAGACCTTCCAGCAGTTTATTTGCATTGCTTGGTCTGTAATCACCCTATAGAACTTAGTATCATATATAAATTTGGGTGTGCAGAGGAGACTGGGTCCATTCTGTGGCACAGTGAGTGTACTTGTGTGGTTTCATGATCGTACAACATTCTGTGCCAAAGACAGTGAGTGGCAGCCACCGTCTAGACCCTCAGGCGAAGGGATTCCACGAATGGGGACTCTGAGCCCACAGATCAGAAAGTATTTCTCCAGTGCTGCACAGTGAGCACTAACCCTGCAAAGACTAGAGCCCAAACTCTCCAAAGCCCAAACTAGAACAGACTGAGACCCAGATTTTTTTCTGCACCACCCTTTCTCTTTCCAACACACATTGCTAGTTCCCTCCCATTCTACTCTCATCAGTAAAATGCTGTGAAATGCTGCAATGCCCTTCTATTGTCTTTATTTCACTTTCTGAAACATGACGGCAGTAACCTTGCGTCTTTGTCTCACTTTGTGAAAGATGAGGCAGTGAACCCCGACCACCCAGAATCCCAGCATCCCAGAAAGGGAGCCCTTTATCAGTAGTCTTAACACCATGCTCCAAAGAACCCTGAAGTTTCCTTTAGGCACTTCTGAGATTTTGAAAATAATCACACCTTTGCCGCCAAAGAACAAGAATTCAAACTAAGGAACATGTTAACCACTCATTTAAAAATATATTTTATACATTGGGGTTTAGTGCAAGATGGCATCTTAATGAAAGAGTTCTGCCGCTAAAAAAAGATAGCAAATCTCTTTTTCTAAAATGTCATGGGTCACTGTACTACAGGATGCATCTACTCAGAGGGAGAAAGTCATCATGGATCAAAGTCAAATATCCCAGCAAAGTGGAGGAACCCAAATCTTCACCTTTGGCTAACCTAGTACCCTCCTGAAAGGTGATCCTGCCCTGCCAGCATCCACACCCCATTCTGCTGGGACAACAGCAGTGTTTCCTCTGTCCCTGCTGGGCATGCATCGACCTGCCCTGTCTTTGCCGAGCAGGCCCTGGAGCCCTGGAGTGCTCAGCTATCCCTTGGCAAGAGGGTCTGAGCTTGCTGGTGGCTCTTAATACTTAGGGTGGCCTGTAGGATTCTCTATATCTCCACTCTGGGTTGGAGAACCCAGAAACCTGGCAGCAGAGTCTGACCCTGGGGACCTGGGGACAAAGGTTGCAGGGGAGGGAGGTGCTGTGAAGATTTCTGGAAATGGAGCTACGGCTGATATTTCCTTCTCTGTGAGGACAAGAGATTAGAAAGGTCTGTTCGCACTGGAATAAACTCGAGGAAAGCAAACAGATGAAACAGATATACACACAGGCCTGTTCTCCTCTGTCTCCTCTTCCGAGTGCCTCCCCAGCTCAGGCAGCCTGGCGCGCGCGCACACACACACACACACACACACACACACACACACACGCGCGCGCGCGCGCAGGTTCAGACTTAGTGTGGTTCAGCTGTAGTTCCTAGTAAAGTGGTTTAACTAGTCGGGTCGGCTATTCTGCTTCTCTGCCTCTCCACCTCTCCTGCTTGTCCTTTTCCACTGCAGGTAAATAACCACGGGCTTCTCCCCGCTGCAGCCCCATGGCCAGGCCTGGTCTCCCTGGCAGCTCGCCCAGCCCTGGCCCCCTCCCAGCCCTCATCTCCTTGACACCATCAAGGGTGGACTCCATCTCAGCAGACACTTGAGATCTCAGATGTGCCGAGCTGGAGGGGATCAGGTCATCCTCTGCAAGGCTGTCTTTTTACATGTGGGAGAGGTTGGGGCCCAGTGGCTCAGGAGGGGGAAGTGGCAGCTCTATCTTCCAGGATCTCTGCATCAAGCTGGAAGCCTGTCTTCAATCACATTTCACAATGGCAGCCCTTGGGCTGCCCCGGCCCAGAGACATGCTTTGTTTGGTCCATGCGCTGTGGGATGCCACAATATTATTTTATAATTTAAATTTAGAGTCAACATTTTAAATGGGAAACTTCAGCTCTCAAAAGTCTAGATTTCTGGCTTCTCTTGAAAAATTACAAGTCTGGCAACCTAAATTCCCATTCTCATGTGGCAGTAATCTGCTGCAGGTGAGTAGCCACTGCTCCTTTTAGATGAAGAATTGGCTTAATTCCTTTCTCTTTCCAGTTGAGCTCCTATAGCCATTTGTATTTGCAACCTCTGCTTTAAATAAAAGTAATAAAATAATATTGATAATTGTTATATATATTGAGCATTCTACCGCTAGTAGAAACCACGCTGAGGATTTCACATGTGTATGTTATTTAATTCTCACTAAAGCCCTATGAGGTAGATTTATTATCGTTCCCATTTTACAGATGGAAAAGTAGAGGCTCCGATGAGTTAAGAGATTTGCCCAAGGTCACACACAGAAGAGGAAGCAGAGCTAGGATTAGAAATCAGATTTTCCCAACTCTATCAACTATGCTGATTCCGAGGCCTGGGCCGGTTCCATCCATGGCGGTGGCTTTTACGGAGGTAACTCAGAATGTCTCCAGCCCCTATCCACACTCGGAATCTCAACCTCTGTTTCCAACAGCCAGTGGGATTTTGCCACTTGTATGTCCGCAAGCATTCACCAAATGGGGAATCTGAGTAACAGACAAAAGCAGGCTTGGCGTTATTCTCCTTTCCAGATCCCCAGCCCCTCCTGCTCCTTCTCCTGACTTCTCTGCTCATGCTGCAACGGCATTTTCTCTCTCTCTCAGTCAGTCATGTAGGCACTTAAACTTCATCTCTGACTCTCCCCTTCCCTGCCCATTGTTTTAAATCAACATCCAACAATACACCGAATCCTGTTCATACTTTCTCCATGATTCTGGTTTCAGACCTTTGTTTTCCGTCTCCCTCCACTTCAAATCCACTCTGCAAAGCATTGCCATATTAATCTTCTTAAAGCATAGGTCAGATCATATTACTTCTCTCCTTGAAGACCATCACTGGCTCTCCACTGCTGATGGAGGCAGGCTCCCCGTCTTTGGCATGGCCTCTGAGACGCTCTACAATATTGGGGAAACTTCTCCAGGCATCGCTTCCTCCAATTCCTCTTTACATTTCCAGATTCTCAATTTCTCAAATGTTCCCAATGCCTCCTCTGTCTAAATACTTGTCCCTTTTGTTTGGAATGCTCTGCTGCTCAGCCTTGCTTGTGGAATTTCACTCCATCTTTCAAGGTCTAGTTCAAAAACCACCTCCATTAAGGCTTTCCTGAACAAAATCTTGCCCTCTGCTCTCCAGCCAGGAAGGCAAACTCTCACCATTTAACAACTATTTATGGGACATCTACTATGTGCCAGGCACTGTGGATACTCATTCATGCATTCTTCCCACTGTAGGTAAATACTCCCGGAGTGCTTACTATGCAGCAGGCACTGTCCTGATATAAGAGCTACTTGCTGCCATGACATAATATCAGCGCAAAGAAGAAAATATAAAGCAGCTGAGTCTGATTCACAGGGGATGATAATGACCATGTGAGGAATGAACGGGGCCCACCAGGGTCCATGGCATCGAGGGACTCCTGCTCCAGTGATGTATAGGCCTAGCTGGACCTGCCCAGGAGCAAAAGTTCAGCACCAGCCTCTGGCAATTCTGTGGCTCCTCCTGCATCCTGACTCCTTTGATGCTGAGTGACACTGCGGCTGCTGGGCCTTCTTGTTTGGTTCTCTTCAAGGAAATGCAGTCATGGGAAGGATCTGTTTCCAGGGTCTGTGGATACAGGAGGTCCCCATGGCTGGACCCAGGAGACTCTGTCCTGGTGCCAAGTGTTCCACAGTCACAGGAGGAAATGCAGAGCCCAAACGCTGGCCAGCATGGAGCAGTGCAGCCGATCAGAACAAAGCCTGCTGAGAAGGGCGAGGGGGTTGACCATTCCTTCTACAAGGCCCCTCTGACATCTGTTAGCAGGATCGCAAGCTTTAGCAGAGAGTAGCTCAGGTGGGCTGATGTTGCTGTGGAAATCATAGGCACACTGGCTGCCTCCTTCGTGCTCCATTCATTCAAGTCCCTCCCCAGAGAATGTCCACTCCACTTTCCTCTCTGATGATGATGATGACGATGCCGATGAGGACCACAGGGAACAGGTCCTAAGGCTCTGCGCTAAGTGCACTATGTGGTTTTTCTTAATGAATGCTCACACACTGTCCTTATCCCTATTTTGTAGGTGAGGACAGTTGGGCTTAGAGGGGTTAAGAATTTCCATGAGGGCACACCAGGCACATGGAAGCATCAGAATTCGAACCCAATCAGATGCCAGATGCCAGAGCCCCTGTGTTTCACCACATCAGACCAAAGCCTCCTGTGCTGTTAAAATTATACTCGGCCCTAAGGCATCATTCAAATATCACCTCTACTGTAAGGCTTCCCTTGATTACCTTTCCATCCCTGTGCATGGCATACACGACTGCCCTGAGTAGCGGTCGTCACTCAGTCCTTCACCGTTTATTGCATGTCCACTAGCTGCTCTTTGATGAATAACTCTGCCCCTCCTCTCCAGAAGCTCCCTGTCCAGTTACCACAGGGCAGGATCAAGGCTACTATGTGATACGTCTGGTTTGTTCACATTTATGTCTGCTTGCAGCTGTCCCACCATCACTTCCAGGGCCTGAGAAAGTCATAGGTCTTTTCCTGTGGCCAGACGGTCAAAGCCACTTAACAATCTGGGTCAGACATATGGAAATTCAGCAAGCTGCAAAACAAGCAGGTGGGGAAATAGCAGGGAGTTCCACCAGGAGCAGCAGTGCTGGAAGGAGAGCGTTTATAATTCTTGCCCCAGCCCCTGCAACAGTCCTGCAGAGCTGAACTTCCGAGGCTTCTGAAGAGCAACGAATGATTTACTTAAGCTGTGCTCAGTGTGATTCTGGTCCTGGGGGCTTTTGCCAAGTGTTTAAGCAAAGCCCTGCTCCTTCCTCCAGGTGCTGTCATTCCAGCACCTCCAAGACTAACCTGCCCAGGACCTAGATGGAGCCAGGATCAGGCTGGGCCCTATCGACGTCCAGGCTCAGGTCCAAGAGAAGTCCTCTCCACTCCCGCCTCACCAAGCAACTCAACGGTATTTCCTTAGTGCATCTGAAGACATTGAAAGAAAAGGATGGGAGGAAATTTGCTGAAAAGTGCCGCAGGCAGGCGATTTAGAATCTCCGGTCCTTTTGCCCAGTCCCTTCTCAAGAAAGATCTCACAAGTTCTTAGGGATCCAATTAGAGGCAATGGTTCTTGGCTTTTTAATAAAACAAATGGACTTTCGAGAATCACAGGAAATTTGTAAAATCTCTCCCCACAAAAAGCCTCCTCTCCCACATGCAACTTGGTATCCAGTTTTGGGATATTCAAGGGCTTCCTGAAGTTCATCCACAACTCCAAGTGTTGATGTCCCAAAGCGTTGCATGCAAACAAGATGATTTTTGGTACGCGGACAAACGTTGTTTTAAATTTTAATTCCTGGCTATTTATTTTAATATGTACTACAATCATAATTAACACATCCAATCTGTGATCTCATAAGTGTTTTGGGATGAGGCTAAATTGAAAAATTATGACTAGAATTGAAGTAAGTTTTAAGGGGAGCATTAAGTAAAAGATTAACATTTCAGGGGACCTGTGTGTGGAGAAAGCCTGGGAAGAATTGCACATCGATGACCCGTGTTTGGATGCACCACTGGAGTTTGTGGAATTTCTAATCTGATTTAACAACCTCGTTGCACAAATGTGGAAACTGAGGCCCAGAGAGTTAAGTGACAGACCTGAGTTCCTGATAGTCAGAAGCAAATGGGAGAAAGTCCCCAGGGTAGCAAATTCCCAGGCCAGTGTTGTTTCTAGAGCACCATTAGTTTTCTTGCTTTCTACCTGTGCAGTTTTAACCTCAGAGGGCAAAAAAAAGGAGGCCACCTGGGTTTCTGCTGGGAGCAGAGAGAACCGGTAGTAACCTCAAATAGCCAGTTAGATCACTGTCATCTTACAAGGGCTTTTACAAGTATTTTCCTTAGACTCTTCTCACCGCTTATACTTATAAATGAAACATGTTTCAGGATGCTTGTCATTCCTCCCACATTGCTCCAGGTTTGCCTGCACAGTCTCAGGAAATGATTTGCTCTTCCCTGCCGAGGGTTATGCTATTTAACTCGAGTCATAAGAGAGAATCAACTTTGCATGTTGTGGGGCTTCTTTCAATTGGGGTTGACATTGTGCTCGCTGCTCTGATTGCCAGATTGAAAACTAATGATGTCCAATGTAAAGACTTTCTTTAAATCCTCTGCCTGGGTCAGCCCCCTGGGGAGCGTTGTTCTGGGTTCTGAATGCATCCCTTTAAGAGACACAGGCACCTTGGGGAGTGTGTCCAGAAAGAGGGTAAGGGACCGGACCGACAGGAGGAGACTGCAGCCCGATGCAGGGGAGGGACGGCTGAAGGACCTGGCTTTCATTGGCTTGCAGACAGAAGACTCCAGGGGCCATTCCAAGGTCACCATCTGCCGGTCTTTGAAGAGCTGCTGTGGGACAGGGCAGAGCAGGGCAGGTAGGCACACTGTGCTGCAGCTCTGCTTCGCTCCAAGCGGCAGAGTGGGCGGGTGGAACAGAGTGGATGGTTGGAACAGAGTGGGCGGGTGGAACAGAGTGGATGGTTGGAACAGAGTGGGTGGTTGGATGTCTGCGGAAAGTGAGGAGAATCAGGCAGCGGTTCCAGGTAATTGTTGCCATGCAGGAATGCAGGCTATAAATCTGAGTTTTTATATGGAATCTGATTTTTAGAAGGTGGCGAGACATTTCCAAAATGTTTGAAAACACTGTGTGGCCAAACAAAACATATCTGTGAGTCAGATCTGACCTGTAGATGACCATTTTGTAACTTCTGCCTTGTGGTCATGAGTTATTTTGGTGTTCCTGCTTGCTGATCCTGTAATTGGGCTCCCCTTTTTCGGGGTGGCTGTTCCTGTGGTATGGTCCTATGCTCGGCGTTCAGGGTGCACATGGACTTAGAACGGCATTTTCACTGCTCTTTAGACAAAGTAGGAAGCTCCAAGAGTTGGGGGTCTCCTTCTGGGGTAAAGGGAGGGTCAGGCAATGCCAGGGGACCTGGAGAAGGTGGCATTGTACCTGGAAATACCATTGATACAGAGGCAGGATATCCGAGTTCTCACATTCCCTCTGCAATCTCCTAGTTGTGTGTCCTGGAACAAGTAATTTCTCTGGGTCTGTTTCTTCCTCTATAAATGAGAGGATCTGGGCTGGCCCGGCGGCGCAGCGGTTAAGTTCGCACATTCCGCTTCTCAGTGGCCCAGGATTTGCTGGTTCAGATCCCAGGTGCGGACATGGCACCACTTGGCAAAAGCCATGCTGTGGTAGGTGTCCCACATATAAAGTAGAGGAAGATGGACGTGGATGTTAGCTCAGTGCTGGTCTTCCTCAGCAAAAAGGGGAGGATTGGCAGTAGTTAGATCAGGGCTAATCTTCCTCAAAAAAAAAAAAAATCCAAAAAAAAAAAATGAGAGGATCGGATAGTCTTCTGTGATTTTATGGCAGTCACTCCTCCCCACCCTCAACCGCACCCTATAGGACTTCCAGGTTCCCAAATCCCGTGTCCCTTTCTGCAGTGGATTTCCTCCAACCCTAAGAAACCCCTCTTCAGAGCCATCCTGGGTCAAGTTGCCCCCTTCCTGCCACCTTAGGGATCTCCCTCCTTTAATGTCTTCCCATTTCCTCTACCTACTAACTCCTATTCGTCCACTCCCCAGGCAAGCTTCTCCTGACCCCCCCCCCGCCATGTCCATTCTCCAGTCATACATGTCTTTCCATCAGGGGACTCGCTATCGTGGGCACTACTCATTTATTTGTGTGATTATCAGATTACTGTGTCACTGGTTTAGATACCCTGATGGTCTCTTCCAACCCTGTTATTCACTGATTCTGGGGTAACCAACCAATGAGGGGCAGAGCACAGAGAAGCTGTTCTCAAGCTTTATTTCTGTCCCACACACCCAAGAGATTACAACACACACCCAGCGTGAATGGGGCGTGTGGGTACTGGATCCAGAAACACTCACATAGAGGTGAAGAGCACAAAGCTAGTCTTGACATTTCCCCTGCCACATGTTAGCTGTGTGACTTTTCAGACAAGTGACACCGAGCCTCAGTTTTCTCGTCTGTAACATGGAAACAATAGCTGCCCCAAAGGATTCTTCTGAGGAACACCGATCTAAATTACTTAGCTACTGTTGGGCACGCAGCAAGCATGCAATCCGTGGAAATCCTAAGAATAGTTTCAAATTGCAGATCAGAGCCTCCTTAGGTACAAATCCTAGCTGGAGTTTTGGATATCTGCTCTCTCACCAATGAGCAGCCCCGCTCCACCAAATGACCAAGGGAGACATGAGGCTAAATCAGTGGTTCTCAACTGAGGGACGTTTTTCCTCCAGGGGACATTCTGCAACGTCTGGAAACATTTCCGGGGGTCACAATGTGGGGTGGGGAGCTCCTCTGGCATCTAGTGGGCAGAGGCCAGGGAGGCTGCTAAACATCCTACAGGGCACGGGGCAGCCCCACAACAGAGAGTTAGCTGGTAGAAAACGTCAACACTGGGCTACAGAGTAACCAAGGCACAAAGATATAGGGGAAGAAAATAATTTTGTGAGGTTTTACATATATATATAAAATATATATGCATACATATAGATACACATCGTATATGCATATGTACAGTGTATGTGGATGCACCGTGTGCTGTACACTGCATGAGTATGTGTTTATATCTAGTATGTCCCATAACCCATGTATATACAGTCAACTGACAGCCCCACAGACACAAAGCCAGGGCACAGACTCCCAGCCACGAGCCAAATTGACTCACCCACCGGAGGCTGACTTACTGGAATGGGAAAGTAAACATTTGATCTACGCACAACTTGTCAGGAAAGTAAAGCTTCAGGGAAGCGGGGGTGTCCCTAGTGTCCTATACAGCACGATCACGAAGCACGACATACGTTTGTGCCCACACCCTCTTCCTGCCTAAGCTTTCCAATACCGAGCAATTCCCGTTCCTTGGAAACTCTTTAGGAAAGTGAGAGGCCCAGAGGTTACAGGCAGCAGAGGAAGTGGCATGGGGCTAGCCGTGGGGCTGTGACCCCAACCCTCCAGGCCAACTGGGTTGCCTCACTTTTCCCTCGATGGTTTAATTCAGTGAATTGAGCGTGTGGGGTGAAATGACCTTGTTCGTGTTCTTTCTGTTCGGCAGTGCTGACGCTTAGCGAAGCAAGATTGGAATTCCCTTGTGGGGTGCCTCTTCTCCCAGCCCTGTGTGAGGCAGGAAATCATAGAGATTAGGAACACCAGCTTGGGAATTAGAAAATCAGACAAGCCTGGAGTGGAAATCCAAGCTCCCTCTCTTACTTCTACATAAGCCTTGGAAAGTGACTTAGGAAAAGTAACACTACTTACCTCAGTAGGCTGATACAGGATTAAGTAAGATATTATTTGAATAGTCTCTGACACAGAGTAAGCACTTGATAAATAGAAGCTGCTATTATTATTATTATCATTAGTATTCCTGGGTATGGGGTGATGGTCGTGGTGGGGTGTGATTAAGAAATAGTCTCTACACTGGAAAAATTCACAATCCACCAAGAGAACCAGAGTGATACAGAGAAGGACGAAGTGCTAAACCAGAAGCGTGGCCACTGAGAGGCAAAGTGGGGTTTGCCTTCAGGAAGGAGAAATTCACCCCCACTGGAGAGATCAGAGAAGGCTTTGCTGGGTGGAAGAGGCAGGGCGAGGGGTGGGAGGGTTCTAGGATATGGTGGGAAATTCCCTCACCCGAAATGTTTTCTGGATTCTAACCACCCTCTTCTTTACTGTCCTAAGCAACAACTAAAATGGGACAAGCAAACTCTCTCTCTGGTCCACATTCAGCCCAGCTGTCTGTGGAACGGATGGGTTCCACAAACACTTTATGATCTGCCTAACCCCTCTGCCAAAAGGAACGGGAAAGAAAGGAAAAAAATACATTCTGTGTCCAAAAAGAGTACTCGGTGGCAGGACACAAGTGCACAAAAGGAAAAAAAAACAGAAAAAAGCAGGAAAATTCATGATGCCTCTGAATTTTGGATTCAGGAATTCAGATGGGAGTTTAAAGAGTGAATGTCTTCCACTTAACCCTTCAGTTGCTGTGTGCCCAGTCACAACCAGGGCGCGCAGGGAGCAAAGTGACTTCCATAGGAAGAGAGGAGCAGAGAGGAGAAAGGATGAGGGAGCAAGGCAATGAGGCAGGCCCTCCACAGCGGGACAGAGCCACTGACTTGATGTCACAGCCCAGTCTCCCCCTTTTGATGAAAGAGCCAGATAGGGGGAAGGGCAAGAAGTCCCGGACTGGGCGTGAGCAGATGCGGGCTGCAGCCCTCACTTACCTGCTGTGGTTTCCCCTCCTGCAGAGGTCGCAATGGGATGTGACAGGAAGCCACAGGTGAAGGGACTATTGTCAAATGTCCATAAGTGCTCCATATGACACAAAGATACTATTATTGTTACTTTCAGAGATCAGGAAACTGAGGCATAGAGAGGCAGGTCTTTGTCTTGGTCCAGCACAGTAAATTAGTGAGCTGAGAGGAAGTTTCCAACTCCTCAGGCTGGATGGGCAGGTTGCAGTCAGGCCCAGGCCACCTGAGCAGCCGAGGCCTTCTGCCCCGGCCACCGGAGTCACGGCTTGGGCTGATAAACACAGCCAATGGCACATCCCGTACGCAATTCGGTGGCCCAGCCCGCTCCGCCGTCCAAGCACGCAGGTTTGTTGTGGGAAGCCCTGGGGAGGAAGAGCTTGGGAGAACATGTGGGAAATCGAGCCCGCCAAGAGAAATGAAAAACACATTAGCTGGTGCAAAGGGAAGAGGACGCAGAGACACAATCCATCACTTCCATTTCCGTCATCTGTGGCAGAAAGGTAAAAGTGACCTTGTGTAGGGCCAGCCCGAGTCCAAAGCCCAGGCTGCTGAAGCAAAATGCTTTTGGACTTCTTCTCTGTCAAAACTTTTGCACGGACAGTGACCGTGACAAAAACACTGCAGTGCAGACGTGCAGAATCTCCACAGCTTGGCTTCCAGGTTGGTCCATGAAAACCAACTTGGGTGCACTTTGGGGATGGGGGTGGGGATGGGGAGGCTGTAGTCTAGTGACAAATTTCTAAACCTTTTGAGTCAAGAGGCAAGGATGCAGGGTGGCTTCTGTGCCAACTGGCTGTGATTTTGCTGAGCAAAGCAATTGCACTACTTGAGTCTGATTCCCCAGCAAGGCATCTGGATAGATGGCTGGAGTTGTGAGGTCTTTTCTAGGTCTAAAAACGTGAGGGATGTGGGAGAGGGAGGGGAGAGCGCAAACATTTATTGAGTATCACTAGTTACCAAGTACTAGTTTACATAGTTTATGCATATGATATCCTTTAGCCTTGAAGGTTTCCCTTTGAGGACTGTGTTATTGTTTCTAGTTTAGATACAAGGAATCTGAGGCCTGGAGAGCTTTCAGACTCGTCCAGGTCACAGAGCCAATAGTCACAAAGGTGGGATTCAAAATCATGTCTATTGCTCTTCAGAGACCATGATAAAATAGTGGTAGCTGATATTCTTGCCCCCTGAAAATGATGCTATCATGCAACATGCATTCCTTCTTTCCCTCATGAGTTTGTCCCAGGTCCTAGCTCTGGATATTTTAGGGGAAAGATCTCTGACTTTGGAGATGGGGCAGAAGAGATGTGTGTGGAGCCAGCTTACACTGTCTCAAAAGAGTCAGTTGTGCACACGTCTTCATCAGCTCCACGTTCCGTGATGTCTTGTTGGGAGCTTGAACTTGGCCGGGGTGGGAGTATTTCCACTGTGGAAATAGGCACACTGCAAATCAGGGGCTCCTTACTAGCACATCGCTGGATGTCGTCTCATCTCCATCACCAGCTGAGAGAATAAGCATTTAGAAACCTGTAAGGTAATTTGGTGTTGCTGTGACATCCGCATGGAAAGTGGCCTTGTCTCATTGAGCTGGGCTAGACTGACTGGGTGTTGGTGAGAACAGAACCACATGAGGTGACGAAAGAGTGGACGGAGACCCAGGCTCCTTGCAGTAGGCTAGACTCTGCTGTGTTTTCACCAGGTTTCCCTGTGAGTGTGATACCCACCACAGTTTGAGAACTGCTGGTCTAAACAGAAACTGGGAATGGGAATCCCTCTCTTGAGCTTCCTCATGAGGATAAATAACATCGGCATGAACAAACAAAATCAGATCTTGAAAAGGAAGGTGCAGTGTAAGCACCACGCTGAGGCCCC